ACTATATCGTACAGGTTTAAAATCTTCACATAAATACTATATTGTATAGGTTTAAAATCTTCATATAAATAGTTTATGGAATAGGTTTACAATCTTCATATGAATAATATATTAAACAGGTTTACAACCTTCATATAAATACTATATCGTACAGGTTTACAATATTCATATAAATACTATATCGCACATGCCTACAATCTTCGTATGAATACAATTTGTTATCCTTCATATAAATACTATATCGTACAAGTTTTTTAATCTCCATGTAAATACAACCATTCCAGCATGACTGTCCGTTATTCACCCTCGGCTCCAGTCCTAAACCACGTCATCTGTTATGTATGTATGTCTGTCTGACATCTATTCACCTTTCAGCAAGAATAAAAGGTTTTATCCTAAACATAATCTGTTGTATCTATCTTTGTGTAATTTCTTTGCCCTCAGTAAAACAATAATGACCCATTCCTAAACGGCGCCACCCGTCTCTGATTTAACCACTCTCGGTGTATTGGGTATTTCTGTGGATAATTTCCCGTGGGGATTTTATAATTCCATTGTCTTTGTATCTAAACTTTGTTCCTTACTAGCAGACATCGAGGCGCCGTTCACTCGAATCCGGTGACATTTGATCGACAAGGGACCCATGCGACGTACTACGTAACGCATGCTGAATACATTGTTTTTACGCGGAATTTGAATAGGCTGCATGGTAACCACATACATTAAAGCACAATAGTTCTGTATGGTCGATATTTCCATCGAGTTCTGCTGTGTATGCAGTTTATCCGACTGGAATAAAATGTGAAACGTTTCTATTTGTATAATTGATTGAGGGTTTGTTTTGTCAACTGCCCGGTCAAGTGTAAGCAATGTAGTCGATGTAACTTACCCCGGGTCACTAGTGACGTGTGCAGTTAATATTAATGAGTTACAGAAAACTAGTATCTAGAAATAGTTAGTTGTTTAGCGTTTACACTTTTTGGTATGTTTGTTATGCTGTGCACATTTGTCATAGTACAACGGATGAACTAGGCTATAATCGGTTTCAAATATTATTTAAAACCCGGTCGTTATGAAGATAAGATAACGTTTGATAGTTTACTGTGTTGTATTTGTTTTAAAACTTGTTTGTGCAAGGCGATATTTCCGGACATTGAAGTCTCTTCCGACTATTTTTGTGTGCTTTGCGTGTCAATTGCAAGTGCACGTGTGCAAACCAGTCTCCTACATCTAATATCGTGTGTTTAGAAGGCAGGACTGACTACTCATATTTATACTGCTTGTTCCGTGAACCGAACCTAGAACCTCCCTGTTACGAGACGCCAGATATAACTGGTCATTCATGTTACCTTCATATTTTACATATAATATTGAAAAAAAACTGTTACCAACACAAATATTAGTTCCCATATCAGTTTTAATAAAATCACAGCCATATTTAGCTGATGTAATATGACGGGGTTGACACAGTTCTGTTGCAGGTCTCTCTAAATTCCGACACACGCTCGGCGCATCCCAGCTGGGTTAGTACCAAATCTACGTTCATTTGCGTCCTGACCTTATATATATATATATATATATATATATATATATATATATATATATATATATATATATATATATATATATACACCTTACTTTATTGCTGCACATTTTCTTTTCAAAATATGTTGAGTGGCCATTTTTATTAACAGGCACGTCGCCAAATAATGCAGCGGGTGGGGGGGGTAGAGCTTTGATTGTTCCACTACACAGTGCAAATATAAGGAAAAAGTCTTTCTTTTGTACCCCGCCCCTAACCATAACCCTAACCCTATCCATGCCCTCCAACACTCTCCATCTTAATTGTAATCTAGAAGGACATATACAACTGAACTACAGGCTGGTGAGAGGGTTTCAGTTTAGGTTAGGGGTGGGCTGCAGGAGGAACTCTTTCTTCAATGTGACGCTTTTTTTCAGTACTTTTTAGTGTTAGCGCAAAATAAAAACAGTTTGAAAGTATTGTTTATTATTCATTTCAGAATTCCGCCATAATTATTAGGTCACGTGTTTAAATCCCACTACCTCATTGAATAAAAGTATCGGGCCTGTTGGACGCAGTCGTTAACTATATATCGCACACGTAAATAAATCGCTACATCGCACCACATACACCTGGATCTTTAAATGTGTGCGGCGGACTTTATGTGTGAATTTGGTAAAGGATTATAACAAAGTTACATGAAAAGAATACCCAAAGTTACAGGTTCCTGTTTCTAAGGTCTATGTTAAAGTTATTCTAGTGTGTTCATAACTTGGTTTTATGAGTCATAATATAACCTTTGAATGTAAATCTGGATTCGGGTTACTTATGCTGATTAAATCATTGTGTAAATATTTTCATTTTGAAAACATATTGTTGTTGAGTAATACAAATCTCAAAGCGTACAATTGGATTCACGTGACTGTTGTCATAACTAGTATGACCATAACATCGACAGTGATGTGTTGAGACAGATAATTGACAATTTAAAGTCATTGTTTCCGAAATACTTCAAAAACTGTGTATAGCTACAAAAAACTGTGGCATTAAAACTTTAGTAAACCAATTATTATTTGCAGTTAGTGTAACTATAAAACCTACAAATGTGTGTGATATAATCATCTTTGGTATAACCAAGTTCTTATAGCAAACATTCTGATTATTTTTGTTGATTGCCTCAATTTATTATACTTGTTCTCTGGGGTATATAATCGCACATGGTTTAATGAATCGCGACAAATAGGGATTTCGATTTATATTTTATGATTAACTTAATAGTACGGGGTTAATTTGTCACGTCTTTTCGTACATATAAATGGAATTATTTACCATTTTTAGTAATACCTAAAATCTTGTACCATCAATATTCTAAAGAGAAGATTAATTATGACAATAAGAGGGAACAGCACAAAAATAAATTACATATTTATAGGGAGTTAAAACAAGCTTTGGTCTGGAACTGTATCTTAAAATTAAAAAAAAATCTGCTCATATGGCATCTATGACACAATTATATTAATATTATTATTGTTATTATTTCACTCCCTTTTAAAAACTGTTTGCCAAGTGATATGTGTCTCATTATAAGTTATATACGGATTTGTTCAAAGGGTATCCTAGTAATAGCCATATTGAGGCCGGGAATGCCTGATGATCTTATTGACGAGCCACGCCCTGTGGCCCGTATATATACTCTGCATGTATATTTTAATTGTCACTCTGCAATCGCACTGCTTAACAAGATATGTGGCTGAGGTAAGATGATATATTATTCTAGAAGTTGTAGTGTTAATTGAAATACCGGAATTAGGGATAGACCGTGTGAGCAATGCTATGAGTTCCAAGAATAATTTATTATAAACACAAATCAAGAGACGTTTGGAAAATGCAATGTTCCATGTCAAAATATGTTTTGTGCATTTTGTGTCATCACAGTGCATAATTTGATATGTTAATCATTTTGTTCTTTATGTCATAAATGTACACGGTTTTTATGGAGTGCAGTATATGAAACTTGATTTTTACTTTCACTGATGTTAGTAAAAGTATTTTCTTCTGATCATGTAGTCATAGAAAATTTATTGTTATTCGTATGACCATAATTGTAACTATTTCGATCAATACGTTTTTACTTTTCCTCAAGTTGTCTCAGCTGTGGTCATCATCTCGATGATTGACTGCTAAGCGTTGTATCAATGGGACTCGAGAAACAAAGTAGTTTTGCCAATGTATATTGCTTCAACACTATATGATTGATGAATAACAATGAGATGTACCTTTAATCCATTATACGGGTCTCCTAAAAATAATTACTTCAAAACGATAAATCAGTCATCGAGGACGAATCCCAGGGAACTCGAACAGCGCCTTCAAAGACGTCTTTGTCATTATATCACGATAAGCACACTCTAAGGCTGTACTCATTGTTTTTATTGATTTAGATAACAACAATTACAGTAAATGTAACTACTTCATCGTTATATATTCTAGCCCATCTCCAGAAATAATGGTTGTTTATAAAACGCAGAACGGGAAAACAAACCGGAATTGTACAACTGGAAATACGAAAGAAATACGAAATACCTATCACTATGCCCTAATCATAATGCCAAGACCAGTTAAAAGATTGCAATTAATTAAGTTAATATAAATCTTAATTGAATTGCATTTCTATATAGGATTGCATTTATTTGAGTTGTTCCACCAGTTCTGAATCTGCGTTGTATAAACAACTTAAAATAATTCCATTCTTGAAACGAAGCCAAGTTCAATCAACGTTTCCGTTACACAAAGTGCTCAATGAAGTTAGTCTTTACAAGTTGATGTATACTATGCAATGCTCAGCCCGATTTTATGCCCACATTGCCAACCAGTGTTGCGATGCCCACATTGCCAACCAGTGTTGTGATGCCCACATTGCCAACCGGTGATGCGATGCCCACATTGCCAACCAATGTTGTGATGCCAACATTCCCAATCAGTGTTTTGATGCTCACATTTTCTATTAGTGCTTTGATGCCCACATTGGCAACCAGTGTTGTGATGCCAGCATTGCCAACCAGTGTTGCGATGCCCACATTGCCAACCAGTGTTGCGATGCCCACATTGCCAACCAGTGTTGTGATGCCCACATTGGCAACCAGTGTTCTGATGCCAACATTGCCAATCAGTGTTCTGATGCTCACATTTTCCATTAGTGTTGCGATGT